AAACACCGCTAGTGTGATGAAAGGTAACACAGCTTGCTGATTAGAGGGAAGAAAAACCCACACAAACAAATGAATCAAAAACCCCACAAGTACATTAAAGCATATTCCCTGACCAGCAAGACTGAGATTTGATAAAACCTCAAAGCGTGAAGGTGTGGTTTCCTTCCAGATCCTGGGAGACAGATGCTCATTCAATCCCTGCCTTCAGAGCAACAGATCCCACAGCTGTGGGTCCAAAGTGGGTTTGGACAGATCCTTGCTCTATTCCCACAATATGGATGGCAAAAAAGCTGTTTTACCCTCTACGTGGTTTGTTAGAAAATCAGCCATACCCTGCTGTCACCACACACGGCGAATTGCTCTCCCTCAAACTTAAGATCCAAGTTTCCTATAAAAAGGGAAACTTAGACCCATTATTGCTCGGACTGACATAACACACTGAATTTAGGCTGAATTTTCCTCTCTCCTAGGTTGTCTCCTGAACTTTAAATGCAAAATGTGTTTTGGTCCTCCAATATAAAAAAGCATTTTCTAGAGGTTATAATTTTGCAGATGTTAATGTTCTTACAACCCTTCTTTGGACTTGAATTTTTTGACTCATCTTTTATTTTATAACACATCATCTGACTAAGCTTTCACTGTATTTTGACTGTGAAACTTTTCTGAAACTGAAATTCATCGCTGTTTGATGTTCAACCTGTATTTATTAAACTCAAACTGGGCTTCAGGTATGCTACACCAATGCCCAATGTCATAGAATCACATAAATGGCCTGGGTTGGGAGGAACCTTAAAGGTGTCACAGTGCCCCACCCCTGCCACGCCAGGGACACCTTCCACTGTCCCAAGCTGCTCCAAGACCCAGTGTCCAACCTGTTCTTGGGCAATTCCAGGGATCCAGGGGCAGCCACAGCTTTTCTGGACACCCTGTGCCAGGGTCTCCTCACCCTCCCAGGGAATCATTTTTGTCATCGCATCTAATCTCAGTTGTAACACAGCACCAACCACCCTTTAGGATTTCACAAATCTGTGGCTTGCCTAAGTTTGAGACGTTTCAGAGACTAAGATGAAAACAGTAACACGCCAACTCCTATGTGACTCACAATAAAGTTGAGAATAACAAAGATTCATCTCTGATTCTTGCAGTTTCTTAAACACAGATTCCCCAGGTATCTTCACTTAGGCTGAAGGGGTTTTTGGCTGTGAGTTTGTAGTAGGGGCATATGCTGCATAAACAGCTAATTTAAGGCATAAAAATTTTAATTAAAAGTTACTGTCTTTCGAAATAACTTCCAGAATGGATAATTTCCTCGGTTTTCAACTGGGTGGTAATTGAAAAAATGTGGAGGAGGGAAGATAAGACAGTGACCCTTTCCCCCTATGGTACCATTGATACACAACCTTCTATGAAGTACATCCTTTGAAAAGAGACATAAAGGACAAGGACATAAAGGGCAGTGAAATAGGAGGCTGGGCATGTGAAAAAAAGCCCAACTAATACTACCAGAACGATTAATTCCAGTTATAATAATGCATGGCTTGACATCAAATTCTGTCCTAGGCTGACCAGACACGTACAGAATACAACAGTATATCCCCTATATGCTTTCTGGAGGCTATACGAGCAGTCATGGAAAATCAATCTGAATACAAATGTAATTTGTTAAAAGAACAGTGAAAATCATTATGCAGGGTCACACTGTCAGCACTTTGTACAGAAGCAGATGCTGTCCAAAGATGCAAAGGCATTCAGTAAAACAGAAGAACCTTGGTCTTTAAAAGCCCCTGTGATCTTTTCAGCCTTTCAGTATAGATACATGAGAACAAAGCTACAGTTTACCTCTCTTGTTTCTCAGCACTTTTGCTCCTTGCAGCTGATTCCAGCTGCAGAAAGGGGCTTTATAGAAACTTCTAAGCCTCAGAGAGAGTAAAGGTTCCCACTGTAATGGAGAAAAAGCAACATCTTTGAAACACTTCCTTCGAAGTTCCAGATTTTTTTCGCTCAGGCTGACAGGATACGGCCACAAAATAAGGAATTACACTTGCCTGCTTTCAGCAACGTCAATATAATTTTTAGGCAAACCACACTTAAAAACTCAGCAGACAGCTAAGTGGAGAAGCATGATACAACCCAGGGAGCAGCTTCACTACAAAGACAACTCAAATGGTAATTTTTCAGAAGGTCCTGTTGCAAAAATGTTTATCGTGAAGGTGTGGGATGCACTGATCTGCTGTGCATCTACAGTCCCATTACTGCTGTTGATCAGCTTACACCACGGCCAGAATCAATACAGCCACACCACTTTTACATCATGCTTTCCTTTCATCTGATCTCAGTCTTCACTGACTGTTCATGAAGCTGTTGGGGATGAAAAAAAAGAACCCTAAAAAACCCCACACAGTGGTACTCACGAACCTGTATTACTGCAGGTGGGATGCACTGCGTTTCTTCCTCCTGAAATTACGTCTAGTATTCTCTGTAGTCACTCTGGTAGTGACTGTCTATCCACGCACAGTAAAGCACCAGAGTGCCTGGCATCCAAATTCCACCAAGGAACAGCAACAGCAGCAAATGTAAAAGCTTACAGCTGTTTTTAAATATGCATAAAAGGGCACTGCTTATTAAAAATGCACCTGCATCTTTCTTGCAACCTAAGGGCTGGAAGTCACTGCACCCTTGAAGGCTGGTTTCATCATGTGCTTGCATATAGACACATCTCTGAAGATCAGGCTCCTGTTACAGTGCATGAGATTGCAAATTCATCAGACTGGCCAGGAAGAAGAAAATGACAGTCTCCCATTGAGATGGCTTTTTCATCCATTAGTATCTTTCAATCTCTCTCCCTTAAAATCAACAGCAGCAGCAAAAAGACAGAAAGGACCTCACCCCAAACTTGCTGACATACCGTGTACTTGTTCCAAGCACAAAAAGCAAAAGGTGTTTTTAAGGCATCATGAATAAACAGGATTTTGACCTCCACCATTACTTTGCTGAGCTCCATCCAAAAAAAAGCCAGTTGGTGTTTTTCTTTAACAGTAGGCTGGAAATGCAGGTCAGTAATGAAGTATATGACTTAACTTTGATCTGCACTTGGAATTTACCCTGAGAGGCAGCTGGCCACTGCACAGATGACACTTCCACTGGTTTTCGTTCTACACCATTATGGGAATGGACTCATGGTGAGTAGTTTAAAACTGCACTGCTCAAAACCTGCTTTTGAAAGAGTTTTGGTTACTTACAGTGCTTGGAGTCATTGCAACTTTGAGAGGATCTATTAAAAGTAAATGTTATGACAGCCACCAAAATTAACCCACTAAATCAGACTTGTCAAGCAGCATTTTGCTCCATTTCAGCTCCAAAAAAGACTCGGTGTAATGTTCTTCTGTTTCTTTTTGAGAGCCAAGGACAAACCTTTAACTGAACAATCACAGCCTAAGCAATCACAGAGCAAATGGATTTGTTTTCCTTCCGATTTCACTTCTGCTAGAAAACCTATTGAGTTCCCTCTGTTCTGAAGTTACCTGGAAACACGGCAAGAACTGTAGGCTTTAATGAGAAAACACCACAGATGTGAGCTATCAGAAGTTCCAAGGAAGCACAGTGCAAAGCACTTACGACAAGTCCAGACTCCGTGGCAGATACAGCTATCTTCTGCTTTAAAAAAAAAGGAGACTTTGGGGAATAAGCTGCAGGTACAAGGACATATTGCATAAGCTATCACATGCTCCCTGCAACTGTGTGAATGCTACCGGATTTTGAGAAGCCGCCGCGCTGAATAATTTAAGGGCTAATAAAATATTCAGTTTTTACTGATACACTGGTTTCATTTTGAAACCTCGGGAAGGAAAAAAAAAAAAAAAGAAGTTAATAACGAGGGGAAGAGGTCTAAAAGTCAGCGGGAATATTCTGGTACTCATTAGAACAACAGTTGTTCTAGCAAGCAGGAGGATGGAGGGGTCTGCACGCCGGGTGGGAGGCACAGGACGGGGCTCGGAGCTGGCAGAGGACGAGGAGAACCCTCGGGGGACTGCGGGCAGAAAGAGGGGACCCAGGAGGGGCTGCGGGCAAGAGGAGGGGACGCACGGGGGTCCCGGAGCCGAGCCCAGCTCCATCCCCGGAGCGGGACAGCCGGGATGGGCAGCACGGGACGGGACGGGACGGGAGCGCTGGCCCCCCGCCCCGAGCAGCCCCCCGAGCCCCCTGCGGAGGGGGCACCGTGCCCACCAGCAGCTCCTCGCACCACCAGCTCAGACAACTTTTCAACGCCAGGAGGGCAAAGCTCGGCAAGAAGCGATTAATATAAATAATAAAGAGAACTCCCAAGAGAGCTAAAGTTGTCTCTCTGGGGTAGGGTTGGCGTTTACTTCTTCCGGAGGGTTTTTGGGGTTTGGTAAGGTTTTGGGGTTTTTTTTTTGTATTTTGTTTTGGAAGGGGGTGAGACTCCGAGAAGGCGCCGCGGGTGTTTTAGGATGGAGAAGACCTAATTAGGGGGAGGCAGCGAAAGGGTCGCCTGGCAAGAACTGCTTGCCGCTGCCGAGATGCTCAAGCTCCCGAACGTGTTTGCAAACTGTTCCGCGGTTTGCTGGGTCTCCGGCTCGGAGCTAGCAGCCTCCAAATTACAATGAAGACCGGCGGCTGGAGAGGGGCGGGGGGAGGAAGGGAAAAGCGGTGCGGACAGCTCTGCGGATATTAAATCTTCCCAGCCGCTTATTCTGGATTACATTTAATCACTCACGGCATTTCTTTCCCCTTTAATTAAGCACAGTTTCCAAACAGAACCAGTCTGAGGATGGATCGTCCGCCGGCTTCTATTTCAAACGCAGAGATAAGTATTATGTGTTTTTTTTATCTTCTTCTTTCCTTATGCATAAAGAAAAAAGGAGAGCCCAGAGAGCCGAGAGCCACCTCCCGGTTCCCCCGCGCACTTGGACTCCGACTTTGCGGGAGCTCCGGCGCGACCCCGACCCCCCGTGCCCGCTCCGTCCCCGCCGTCCCCTCACCTCGGGCGGGGCGCGGCGCCGCCAGGCTCCCGCAGAGCGCCAGCCAGGCCAGCACCGCGCGGCTCATCCTCCTCTTCCTCCTCCTGCTCCTGTTCTCGCTCCTGCTCTCCGCCGCCTCAGCCGAGGGATGCGGGCGCTGGCGGTGCCTCCGCCCGGCGAGGCGATGCGAGGCGCGGCTCGGATGCGCAGGTCCCTCCCGCGGAGCGTCTTCTCCCGGCCGAGCGCAGCAGCCGCCGCCCTTACGCGCGGCGCGGAGCCCGTCCCGCCGCCCGCCCGCTCTGCGCGCCCGCCAGGTGCCGCCGCGCCTCCAGCATGGCCCGGCCGCCGCCTCCGAGCCGCGTCCCGCCGCCTCCTCTCCTCCCCCTCTTTCTCCTCTCTGCCTTCCTCCTCCTCCTCCTCCTCCCGCCGCCGCTGCCCTGCCCGCCCCGCAAGGATCCCGGGGGCGGCGCCGCTGGACACACCCCGGCCCCGCCCCGCCCCGGCCGCGCCCCCGGGATGCGGAGGGTGCGGGATGGAGCTCCAGCACCGAGCTGGGACCCCGCGGTGCGGAGGGTGCGGGATGGAGCTCCAGCACCGAGCTGGGACCCCGCGGTGCGAGGGTGCGGGATGGAGCTCCCGCATAAGGACGGGACCCCGCGGTCCCCGCCTGGTCCCGGGGATGCGCCCGCAGCGGTCGGGGATGCGCGGACGGCTGGAGGGGTACATCGGGGTTCCTCCCCACTTCCTCCTCTGCGCAGCTGGGGCTCCTCTCCCGCGGCAAATCGCATGTCCTGGGCTAGTTTGGCGTTGGGTGGGTGCCTGATTGCGTCTCTCAGGGAGAGGACGCTCTCACGAAGGTGTTTTACCCTCCGTGGAGGAATTTTGCCCTCCACAAACTTCTCTGTCTTGTAGGTGGTGCCCAAGCCTCCCTGCTGCCGAGCGCTGCCTCAGTTTAAAACCCCACCTGAGCATCCAGGCAGGGAACTCGCATGGAATCACAGGATTATGGCACGGTTTGGGTTGGAAGGGACCTCAAAGCTCACCACATCCCAACAGGATGAAGGACACCTTCCACCAGACCAGGAGATGCAAAGGTCCGTTCTTCCACCTCCCTCCCTCCTTCCTCAGGTAGGATGGCATCCTGCCCAAAACTGGAAGGCAGTCAAAACAAGAATGAAAGATGCAGCGATATTTCAGAAGTAGCTCAAGGTAGAAAGTAGGAAGGTCCCACGTCAGACCACTACACACTTTTTTTTTTTTTATTTTCATCTATTTTCATCTCTTTTCCCTACCTGGGTGTACAGAGCCCCGAGAGTGAAAACAGGTACCAATTTCACCCATTTCCTACTGGGCGTCAAAAGGCTCTCCAGGTATTTTTAATCTGTAATTCGCATCCCGTCTACATGCCTTCATGGTGAAAGACCACATATAAATATTATATTAAGCTTTAATGCACTTGCCGAGTGAGAAGGATGAGCTGAACAGCACTAGGCTGTTGAGAAGCGTTTCTGCAGATACAACCTGAAAGTGGGAGCTGCTTGCATGACAACGAGAAGAGACGTCGTGAAATTAGGAGTGGAAAGGACCCGTTAAGTCGTCTGATCTCTTGGTTACTCTGGCTGGCACCTCGCAGTAGTTACAGCATTTCGTTTTGCGAGCCCTTTTGTCTGCCATTAAATGCCTGCCAGTGACAGGGTGACAGCCCTTGCCTAAAGCTCTGGTTTTAGATCTGAGCTCGCAATTAATCACATTTTTCTTTGACACTGGAAGTGTTTTGGTTTCAACACCTTACATTTGTCAGCAAAGATCTGAAAGGACGAGGCTTTTTTTGCGCTGGTTAAACTACAAAATTAACAGAAACTACGCTCCTTGATAAAAAGCATTTGACACCCGTAATCCCATGGATTTTTCTGCTCGCACACAGCTCATTGGTGCCCACACCAGGTGTGCACTTCACCCATCACAGCAGGGCAAGTTTCCTGATGCCACTCAGGGCGGTGCAGCAGGCTAGAAGAGATAAAGAAAAAAAACCAATCTCCCAACACTAATTTAGCCCACAGCAGCAGAAAATATGTGCTACCATGACCTGTAGTCCAGTGTAATGCTCTGGACGTGTGGGAGTTTGGTGACACCTACCAAAACTTTTTCCTGTCCTCACTGCGAGGTGCACAAGCCCAGCTCACCTGGCAGCACTCAGGTGTGCTGCAGCCACGCCTGCATCCAGCTGCACAGGTACCCCTGCGATTGCATCGCCACCTCTACAGCAACTCGGGTTTTACACATCAGTCTCCGTGCCAGAGATCTCCCTGAAGAACCGCTGCCTGCAAAGAAAATACTTCCCTTTCTCCCCAAAGGGTTGCTCTGCTGTCAATAAAGAGACAGTGGAAATTTAGGAAGTCTTAACAAAGCTTCTGATATTAACGCATCCTTTCTCTGCGACGGTGCTAATTTTACTGCTTATCTCTGCTTTACAACCAAGAATCCAGCTGTCACAATCACAAGGCGAGCTGCACTGTAGCTGCTGTGGCAGCCCTGCATGCCTGCACCCCCAAGTGGCAGTCTTGCCTGCGATTTTTATTTTCTTGTTTTATTTTTCTTGAGGGAATAATCCCGTAATGCTGCCCCTTTATTTCCCCAATTAGGACAAATCTAAAGGGACTAACTACGCTGGCTACCGGGAGGCCTTTTTCCACCGAGAGCCTGTGACTAGCAGCTGATTAAAATGACACAGAAATCGCTCATTCAAAGCCAGGCATTGTTTATCCAGCCAAAAGGGACAGAACAACAAAAGGCTTTTCTGCCTGGTTCTTACCTAAAGAGCAGTGCCTTTTTGTTTCCAGGCTCTCAATAAGTTTTACTCAATAAAACCCATCTTCCCACCTCAAAGTAATCAGACTTTTTTGCTGCTCCACTTTGCTGGGCCGCTCCTCCTGCGCTGCTTCCTCCTGCTTGTTCCTGGTGTTTTGGGGATGACCCAGGATTGGGGGATGCTGCAGGCAATCCCTTCATCCAGCACCTTCCTCCCACCCCAGCTTCTCCCCTTAGCACAGGGCAGCACAACTCCAGCTCAGCGCTGCAAGCTTGGCTCCAAGGTGCAGACTGTTCCTTCCAACCCACAGGTGGCAATCACCTGCACCTTGGTGTTCTTAAAATGGGTTTTCTGGAGGCAGGCTGTGATATTTCTCGCCCCAGCCTGGATTTTACCCCAGAGCTCCTCTGCTGCTGTGCTGCGGGCTCACATTTTTGTCACTGGGGTTGTTGTGGTTGCAGCATCTTGCAGCACCCCCCTCCTGCAGGGATCTGTCCCTGACCTCACCTTCTGGATGAAGATCCCAACCTGGTGACCTTCAATGCCCTCCAAGGTTCCAAAATTATTAATTTTTTAGCATTTTTTGTTTTTCTTGAAGCAGCTGCCTCCTGCTGTTGACCGCAGGAAAACCTGCCTTATGACTCTATAAGTACTATAGGTATGCCAAAATCAAATTTGTGCGGGAAAGGACCTTCAGGCCATCCTGAAGGTTCTCTTTTCCTTTTTTGGGTTACAAACTTGCAAATCCTTGCTGTCATCCCAGTGGTGGAGGCACTTTGCTGTAATATGGGCAGGATGGGCCTGGGATGTCACAATCAATTGCAGCTCAAGCTGAAGTTCTACCTTTAATATCAACATTAATATAAATACACAATATATAAAATCAAGTTTCTATGTTTGTATTTTGATATTTACCCCTAAGGCAAAACTCTTCCTCCTGCCATGTGGATTCATTATATGCTTTGTGGTTTGGAATTTGAGAGAGAAATGGGCTCAAGAACTGCCAGATATTAATCCCTAATATTTCTGTCTTCCTTTTTCTGCCACTCATAGAACTCAAAGACTACTCCTCACTTTCCAGACTGTTCCTACACTTCAGGATAATTCCTGCTTAATTTGACTTAGCTGCACTCCAATACTCAAAGACATATTTTATTTGCTTACCAATCACTCAGGATCAAGAACTCTTTTGCATCCAATTTTTCTTATGTTCTTCCATCTAAATGATTGTCTCGGTTTGTCAGAATTTTCTGCCTGATAGGATTGCCAGACAGGGACTGTGGAGAGTGCCTAGATCTGCAAGATCCCTCCCTTAGGCTGAAGATTTCTGTCGACCTTCAGGAGGAGAGGAGGTAGAGTGGAGAGACAAATCAACTGCTGCCTTTCCAAGGGGGAAAAAACCCCAAAACTAACTGGGAAAGAGCTGATCCATGTCTGGAAACGTCCTCACTGTTTTCCTCCATCTTACTTTAATTAGTAGCTTAAGTTTCCTACATTATTTCCTGTCTTGCCTCAAATGCTCCAATTAACCCTTTGAAGTCCTTCAGTACATTAACCAGGAAAAAAAATAATTAAAATTATAGCCTGTAGAAATGTAGGCAGCCACACTGTCCTTAGATAAAGAGCCATCAGTAAAGGAACAGTGACAGCAAGTCTGAATGTGTAACACGAAGATGATTTTGGCATAGGAGAAGAAGGATGGCCAGTGTGTTTAGCAGTGACATCAGGTCTAACATTTGTCACACAAAAGGTGAACCAAGTTACTCCCACCTGGGCTGCAGCAGCAGGAGAGCAAGAGCTGATCCTTCCTGCTTGCCAGCCTCTTGCCAATTTTAGATGTCATGCAGACAACAGGAGTGTAACCTGCCAATTACCCTGTAACACCTTTAGGGTATCTTGGACACCAGCTTTGTGGAGTAGATGAGCTCTATCACCAGCTCCCATCACAGCACCCGCCAGATCAGAGCCTCCTCAGAGCCAGAGACCAGGACAGTCTCAGCCTGCACAGGCACAGACTATATTGCCACCTCCGTTATAATTAGGGCTATAAAAAGCCTCTGCTGCACGCAGCAGAACTTTCCTTTTATTTTATTTTTTTTTTTCCCTCCCTAATAATATGTACTTTGTTCTTCGGGGATTTGTCAGACACCGTTCAGCGTAACTGGCTGCTCTGATTCTGCAAGTCATCCATGTGTGTTTGACTCAAGAGAGGAAGAGATAATACATCTGTCTGTCACCACCACAGCAACACCGCCAGAATTATTCCTGGGGTTGACACTGCCTCTAAAAAAAAGGGAACAGTTGCTTCTTTTATCTCTTCCCAAGCACAGCCTGATCCCCCACTTCTCCAACATGTGAGGTTTCCCATTAAGTCAATGTGGGTTTTGTGGAAGATCTCGTTCCCCTCAAACATTTCTGGTTCAAAAGCATTGTCATGTAATGCTCCATCAC